GCTACTACTTATTATATTACTATTGTTTTTGTTCAGTAGATAAAAATCATCATCTCCATCGAAGATGGATCAACCCTTTCCCCCAACTCCTAGCTTCTCATCCTTATCAAAATGAATCTAGATGTTAAATAAATTCAAGTCAGGACATGACAGGAAGCTAAAAGTTTATGTAACAGGCTAAAAGTTTCAGTCCCGAAACCCTTCCGGATTCTTGAATCCACTGAATCAAGCTCGCTAATCTTGACTTCCTCTTAATCCGGAAGGCTGTCCTCCACCCTTCACCGTTGTCTGCAACGGCCCTGCAACTATTGTAGCGACACAATAGTTGCAACTCGGAGTGTTCTCTGTTACTCTATAACTCGTTGTCGTTTTCCAATCTCTATTTCGTAGTTGTTGTTAGCGCAGCTAATGTTGTTCTCCTTTTTTTTCCTGTTTTAGCCAAAATGGCCGTTTCTGACGTTTTTCTCAGAAATATGACGTCATAATTCGAATTTTTGAAATGTTAAAGTACCAGAATTTTCTAGCCCTCACCGTTTGGCCAATCGTTCCAATAACGTTCTTAGTTCTTAATAATCACCAATCCGGAAGGCTCGCTGCTAAAAATTCGACTTCTGCAGAGATTGCATTTTTCACATTCTGGTCGAATGTCACAAATCTCGGCTCGACCAAGGTTTTCTCGTGCCTTTAGCTTTCCATTTTCTTCTAGAAGAGCTCAAAATTGCCTTATTTGACCGTCACTACCTTATGGTAGGGGTGTCAGGGCTTTCCAAATTTTTTTTTTATAAAACGTGAAGGGTCTACTTTCCCGAATTGGTGAAATTGCTAAAAACAATCCTAAAAATCTTTCACGCTTCCTTTTTTTATAATTGATGTTTCTATTAGTAAGCTCAGCTAATTGCGGATCTAATGGTACCAAGATCAACTGGATCTGTCCAGTATTTTCAAAGTTATTAACCAAAACGCGTTTTTAAAGTCAAAAAATTTCTCTCTTATAGGTTCCGCCTAACTTTTTTTTCCCAATTCTGTTCTATTCGACCTAAAAATTATTGATCCGATCTCAAAAGGCCTATACTCTTCTAGTTCAATGCAAAAAACCCGATCTTAAACGCTCTAGCTGAAAAAATTTGCGAAAAATTATGCTATTTGTACCCCTCCGGATTGATGAATCCACTAAATCAAACAGGTTAAGTTCGATTTCTCTGTAACCCGGAAGGTTATCGGCAAACGAGTTTTAAAACCTGTCCATTCACTAGTGGACGTTGTCTGAACAACTATTTTTACTGTCCTAAATCAAAAATTTCAAAAAAAAATATATTTTTTTATAGTGTTCTGTCTTTCCAAAAATCACGAAAATTTGGTTTTTGGTACCGAAATAGTTGCAACCACTTCTGAACTAAACCCAACCGGTTCTGCCAATTAAACTAGCTCAGTTACGATTACGATGTAACTCACTAATTTAGCGCTTTTTTCCATTTCAAAAAATATCGATATCTCAAAAATCGCGATTTGTGGGGGGATCAAAATATCGCAATTTTGACCCTAAAAACCGGCCCGCTTACTGTGTTTTTCTCTGAAAAACGATATCGGAGTATTAATATAGGCTGTATAAGTAATAATACTAGTAATAATATACCCCTCCGGGTTTGTTCAATATCCGAATTAAGGTGCTTAACTCGGAAATTCACAGTTCGATGAAGGGTCACTACAGTGCAGCACTGTCGAGCCCCCCACAGATTACTATCTTATTCTTTGCACCAAAAGGGATACAAAACTTGTTAACGATACCCAACAGTCGACTGTTGCTGTCGTTGAGCCCCCTCTTGTCACTCCTTGTACTGCTTGCCGGATCAGTCTTCCCACTAATCCCGAGACCCTTCCGGATTGAGCGCAAATCAGCAGACCCTTCCAGATTGAGCGCAAGTTAGCATTAACGTGCTTAAATACTCAATTAACCCTACAGTACAAGCCTCACAAACGGGCCACAAAAATGATCGTAACGATCCTGATTGATATAAATGCCTGTAACAACAATATATCTATCAACAACAAACGGGAGGGTCGGATCACATCTTGTCTGGGGGGATGATTTCTACTGATTTTTTTTACTGTTTTTGGTTTTTTCGGTTATTTTTTTAACGTTTTTTGCTTTTCTTGGGAACTTTACTACTTTTTGTTCGGTTTCTTATATATCTTTAAGTGTTTTTGGTCACTAACCTCTCAGGGAGCGAGGGGACGGCCGATCCCCCCACCCTTCTTCCTGGAACGTGAATTTTCGGTCTTAACTAGTTTAAAAAGCTATTCACGGTAATCCAGAAGGCTTCCGCGTTCCGAACTACCCTTCCGCCCCGGCGGTCAGGGCCTATTAAGGGCGTTATTATGAGCATCCGCTCGGCGCGGAGTGCTCGTTAACGGTTGTGCCGGTCATGATGATAAAAAAGAATAACACCCAGGAGCGCCATAAAGACATCTATGTAACATTCGCCCGGAAGTGTGACGTCACAATTCGAATTTTTAAAATTTAAGAAATTCCGAATCCTTCAGCCTTCACGATTTGACTAATTGTCTGAATAACACTGTTAATCCTCTAAAACTGCTAATTCGGAAGGTTAGCTGATAGTCCTTCGTGATTGTCTTTTCGTCAATTCTGGTCGAATGTCACAAACATTGCTCAACAAATTGCTTCAAAAGGTAGTTCAGTATGTGGGAATTCATCGGGTCAAAATCAGCATTGCAATAACCATATGATTTAGGGACAGTAGCTTGTCTCGTGAACGTTGGGGAAAAACTTTGAAACTTCAATTTTGTTAAGATGGCATCATGATTTGGGAGACAATTTAATTTTTCGTCTTTGCATTTTTTGCAGAAGATTACTTCGGTCTTCGAATTAACAAATAGGCGATCTAGAATTCCATATGAAGCAGTTTTAAAGTTAACTTCTTGTTGCATGTTATAATCAATCATTCGGTCAAGGAAAAGTTGAGTTTGATCACAGGTTGAGGTGTAATTGTTCCAATCAACATTCAGCATTTTGATGTCAACATATATTATAAAGTTGTTCATAATTTCGAGATATGGTAATGATTCCGTTAAATAGTTCCAATACCTTTTCTTGGGGTATGTGATATATATTGTTCGATTACGTCTCAAATGGCATAATTCCCAAATGGCATAAAAATGAAAAATTCCCCAAATGGAATAAATTTCATGCAACAGTTGCTTTGGAAAATCGAGAAAAATTTTTTCGTGCACAATGTGAGAAAATTAGTCAAATTGTCAATTCAAATGTTGATTGACATTTTATCGTGAAAAACTTGAAGAACTTTTTATCAAAAGCAAGAAGCATAAGCTTGCGATTATTAATAAGCTGCTTGTGGTCAATTTTTTTTCGACAAATCTGTTGCTTAAATTTGTTTGGAAGCAATTAATTCCAAATCTTGTTCACATGCTTTCGTTCCTGACAAAATGATAGAAATAGAAATTGATAGAAAACGTTTAAATTACAATGAAAACTTGAAGTTTATGCCATTTTGGAAAAGTTTCCATTTTTATGCCATTTGGGAGTTATGCCATTTGGGAAGTTACCTATTGTTCGTTGGAGATACTGCAGGGTTGTAAAAGCAAACTAGCATAATTTGACGTTCATTGAAAATAAGGGAGCATGCAACAACAGCACCTTTAATATATTTCGTTAGAAACATTTCTCGAGATATTAGATAGTTTCTTAGAACTCCGCCGTGCAATTAGAACTCCGCCGTGCTTTGTAACATAATTAATATATTCGCGGTCTGATCTAAAAATTGAGTAATTAGGAAGGAAGAGTTCATTGTCAAAGAATTGGGGATAAAGCCAGGTTTCTGTAATCATAAAGTAGTCAGGACCTAGAAGAATTGTAATGTTCAAAACGTGAATGCGTTTTTCGCGATTGATAAGGCTTCGGACGTTAAAAAGGAAACAATCGATATGTTCAGTTGTTCGGGTTGTATCTTCGAGTCAATTGGATCAGTCAGTTTCGCGCCCTTCGTTTGTCAATTTAAGATTGTAACTTTTGAACTTTTCTTTCACATAGTTCTGTTCTGTAATCAGTTTATAGCGCTTGGTGAGTATTTGACGTTTTTTCAGCTGTTCTTCTTTGTTTAACGATCGACTTATGAAAATGTTAGTGTTGGTTTCACGATTGAACTGGCGAATTCGGTGAGCACTTGCTAGTAGTTTTTTGACAGTCCACGAGTTACTAAAGCTGACTAGAATTGACCTCGCTTTTCCATTTGGATCGTCACAGTTTCCAATCCTTCTAATGTTGGTTACAGGTTTTGCTTAGCATTTTGAAAGATCTTTATTAAGTTTATAATGTGGCAGCCAAGTTTGTTTCAGATGTTTCAATTTTTTTGCAAGCTTTATTTTTTTTTTTTTAGAAAAAACGGTTTTTAAGTTTTTTTCAGCATTTCATTTGTCTTTTCATATGTTGCTTATCATAATCATTCATTTTGTATCGCAAACGATGCGAAGCTCTGCTTGCGATACAAAATTGGCTTACGTGTTTCGCCTTTGTATGGACCACTTCAGTCCAGTTATGCTCGAGATAAGGTGATTGATTGGGTTAAGTTCACACTGTCTAACGAAAACGTATAATTACTAGATGTTTCGAACACTGTTCTTGACGACGTTCGCCTGTTTTGGGTATTTAGAGACCTGGCCATGGGGGCGTTTCAATTTCTATCTAGAATGGGGGTGCGGGTATTTTGGTAGTAGTCTTTAAGCTATAACGATCCTAAAGTTCCATTTCCAAAGCGAACCACGAATTGGCTCTGGCAAATTGAGGTTTAAAAGCACAAGAGACAGTGTCGCTGGCCATTGGCTATATAGCATATTATTGGTAATCTCATAAGACTCGAGTGAACGACTGTTAAATAGGAATAGTTACTCCTAAAATCAGTAAAATTTCAGCTTCTATGATTCGCTTTTCAGCAAAAACGCCTAACACTAAACTCTTTTTCAGGTCAACGCTTTGAACCTCTGATGGTTTTAAATTTCATTGATGACGTTGAAAGAAAAGACGAACAAAGCAAACGATTGTCTTTCTACAAAGAATATTTCAATGCTCCTGATTGGAACATGGAATATGAAAAATACATCGAACGACTGAAGTTTAGACAGATGCGCAAGTTGAAAGAGCTTTCCCATTCTCCTAGATTCTGGGAGCTAACAACAGAAAAGAAAGTTCTTAGCTCTAATAATTTTTTAGCCAATGAAAGTAATAAAAGAAGTATTGGAGTTCAATATTCAGAAGAAGTCAATGAATACGGCAGTAGTGAACTTGAAAAAGGAGGCAAAGTAATTTTTGAAAACAATTCTAAATTGGAAAATGTCTCAGAGAAGAAGTATCACATCGAAGCTCCCATTCATGATAATAAAGGTGAGTCAGTTATTACTCTTGTGATAAGCAAGGGTATTGCAATCGGGTTCGAGGCTTTTTTCCCGTAAATAACTTTGTTCACAGGACTCATCGACTGGAGTTACCTTGGCTCATAACGTATTCAAATTTCTTGCTGTCTCCGACTCACTTAGCTTGGAGGTAACGAATACGCCTGGAAAGAAAAAGGTCTTAGGTTCGAATCTGCTAGGACCTGTTTTTTTTTTCAAAAAGTGCCGTATCATTTTAAAATCCGGCCGAATCGAAATTTGCTTTTCACACTGGTTGTAATTTTACCAACTCGGTTTGTTTAAATTTCGTTTTTTTCCTCAAGTTTGTTTAGACTTAATCATTTCGGCCAATTTTATATCCACTTAGTGGCCTCTTATTCTATCGTTTGATACCCGACAAAAAGTTTCGTGTTCTGAGGGAAGGCGGACTCAACTTTTTTATTAAGAATTTTTTCGACATTAAGGGCTTCAGATGTTTTTTTTTGTATTGTTACCGCGTGATCAATTTGGTTTCGATGCTTTTTTTGATTTATATTGCCTTGGCATGTTTATTTTTCAAAACTATCTTCATTCATTTTGGTAGATTGGTTGTTTGTATATTTATAAAACATCGATATTACTTTTTTTGCTGAAGATTTTTCGGCTTGAGGTTTCGCTCTCGGTGGGCGCGTGCCCATGACGCTATGAAAAGTCATAATGATGGGGTAGGGTTCCCCGTGCGTACATTGCATTTGGTCTTTTTTTTTACCCATAACCGTTTTTTATGGAGTGAACGTGTTCAAAAAATCTCCGCTTCAATTTCCAGATCTTTTTGCATGCGACACTAGAGTTTGAAAATACGATTAGTTTGTTATTGCCGTTTTGCGATTGTTTTATTTTAAAGACAGATTTTGGTCATTTTTGGCCTTTTCCCAATGATCCCAAAAATTGATTTTGAATTTCTATTCAGTTAGTTTTTACTCAAGAAGACCTTCTTAATGGTGCCTAAGGGACGTGGTATGATAGTTTAAACTATTTCAAAAAATTGAAAATTTCACAGTTTATAAGACTGTCATCTAAGATTCGGAAAATTAAAAGCTTAAAAGATTAAGATAATGGCTTCTGATAACAAAACGAATTTCCCGTTGAATAATATGAAAGTCCTATTAGCAAAAAGCTTAAAGTTTTTTCTTTAAGTTCTAGGTTTTTTTTCTTATTTGGCCATTTGACCGAAATCGATAGGAAAAAATAGAAATTTAGTTTAAGTAATTTCAACGTTTTTTTTCCATAGTTTAGGTTAGGTCATACACTTCTTATTTTTAACGTAAACAGCTGTCAATATACATGACATAGTAAAGTTTTGAAAGTTGGCCTCATTATTACATAATAGATCTTAGGAAGAAATGTTTTTTTTTTGGTTAGTTTCAGCTGATTAACTTCTAGGATGTCCTCTGGGGTCCCTCAGGGGCGAATGGAGGAGCATCCGAGTGGGAACATCTAACAGAAATTGATTTTTTTAAATAATTTGCTCAGATATTTTGTCCAGTTTTGTCTGAGCGTTATTATTGCGCCCGAAGGGCGGAATTGTCATTCGAAAGCATATTCAGCTGCCCTGCTAATCCAGTCATTTTCACCGGGGTGTGTGCTCATTGTTTTTGGAAAAACACAGAAAAAGCGCCCAAGGGAGGGAGGATGGGGCGCTTGCCTGCCTGCCCTTAGGTTTGATTTCAATACCTAAATGGCTATCGAGGATACTATCTGGGCAGTTCATAAATATTTTCCAATCAGATTTTGCCGAACAATTTTTGTTGACTCTTAGCTCATTGGCTGTCGGCTTCAACTCTGTCGGCTTGTTACCTAATGTTTTGTTTTCTACGAAGTTTTGGTGCACAAATTCAACCTCATTTGGAACCCAGAAAATATTTAAAAGTTTGAGCAAAAAAATTGATTTTCGCATTTTACTGTTTTTTACGCTTCTACGCTTACAACTTCGATGTCCTCTTAACTCTTGCGATTAGCAAGCATAATAAAATCAGAATAAAGACTTTTTTCGGGTTAACAACTTTTCAACAGAATCACTTGAATCATTTGTTATCTTGGTTCATAATTAATTCGAATTTCCAATCATCTCCTTTAGTCTGGAGGTAGCTAATACCCATGTACGGCAAAGGCCCTGGGTTCGAACCTGACCAGGGTTTTTTTCGAATGGGAAATTTTCCGTTTCAAAAAAATTGTCGGCTTGTTATTTGTCGGTATATGTTTTGTCGGCTTTGTTGCCACATCGTATTTTTTTTGCTGCATGCACTTTGCATTGTAGTTGCTTTTTCGGTTTTCATTTACTCCTGCAAATTGTTATTCTGCTAGTCTTGACTTTTTTCCTTTCATTTGTTTGCCTATTTTTTTTCTGCCTTTATACTTCGGCTCATATTTTATCAGCTTGCTAACCTAATTTTGGGTCGTTCGAGGGAACCATAGTTTTAACGTTTTCCTCCGGATCGAACAAAACGGTAAAAACCTCAGAACAAAATTGTTTTGATTTTTCTTTTAACGCCGTCAAATGTGTTTCTGGACGTGTTTTCCGCAAATAGAACATCATTCCAGACACATTTTGAAGTTTGTTTGGTTGTGGTTTTTTCAAAATTTTTCCATTTTCTTCGGATTTAGTTGCTCTTGTTCTTTCCTGTATGCTAGCTTGCAGTGATGTTTTTGTGGTATCGAAAGTGATGCGAAGCTCCGTTTCGCCTCATTTTTGATAGCTTTGGAATATCGTGCTGTTCCAATCCTATACTTGCTGTATCGCAAGACACTCGTCCTTCCTTTCCTTTCATACAATCAAAACCCATTGGAATTTCACAAATAAGGGAAACATGAAATATAACGTCAATAAAAGTAGAGAGTCAGATAGTTGATTGACCTGATATGAGGCTACGGATCTACCAGATACTTGTACTAAGATGCGCTATCTATCCCTTGGCTTTACAAATAAAAGGTTTTTATCATAAATGGGTGCCGAGTACGCAGGCTGAGTTCGCAAACTGTAATGCGAGGGAGATTTATTGAATGTGTCTCCATAATTTTTTGGACATAAATTTGTTGTTACGATCAATTTCGACCATGACCAATTTCGACCATGACCAATTTCGAAAAGTGGGAAGGAACTACCGCGCTTTGTCTGTTTTAAATTTTTTCTCTAGCCAGTTTTGACTTCTGTTTGGTTTTTGTGGTATCATATGAAAGCCCAATTGAACGTCATTTGGACTCTATTGAAAACTTCAAACTAAATGTTTTCTCAGGCTCATAAAAACTGTTGAAGAACTGAACCTTGATCAAAATACAAGCTGATCCTTGCTTTAGCTTTTTATTTCCTCATTCTTGCTGTGTTTTAACGAATTCATATGTTTTTTTTAACTATAGTTTAACATAATTTTTCAGAAGTGCTGGGTTCTTACCAGACTTCGGAAAATGTTCCACGTGTACGTTATAATTTCTCTTTTTAAACTTGCCAAGCAAAGTGTATTAGTTCGAACTTCCTTTTTTTCCAACATAAGTCGCATATAAAATTGCTGCTTTTGTGAGCACTTTTGAATCAGTAGGCTGCGGTAGCAGTATAAAGTCATATGTGCTTTTGAAATTTGATAAGTAAAATCTTAAGACAGTTGATGTTTTTGAATACATCAAATCAACTCATAAAATTAGTTTGTTTCAAACAGCAGTATATTAATAAAAAGCTCGATTTAATAAGTTTTTCAACTCAATGTATTTCTCAATTTTTGGAAGTGCATAATTTATACATAATTTGGCGTTATGCTTTCCAATTTTTTACATGCAAAATTGTGTATTTTTATTGGATGCTAATTTTGCTGCATCGAATTGACAATTTATGAGCATATGTAGCTGTGTTCTTGGTGGGTAGTTTTTTTTGGGGATTTGAAGCATCCCTGGCTGAGTGGAAAGGCTTGAGACTCAAATTTGCTAGATCGTAGATTCAAATGCGACACGTAGCCGAGTTTTTGCTAATTCGAGGCTTATTTCTACCTTTTCTTATTTCACTTAGACGTGCTTTTTGGTTGTATACTCGCAAGTGTTTGCAAAGCACAGCTTCGCCTCTGTGTCTACATTGAAATACACTTTTCTTACAGTTATAATTCTCACTTTCTTAAAGTTAAATCATAGTGGACCGAAGCTCCAAGTCACATTTTTTGAATAGGTTTCTTGGAATTGATTGCTTGGGTTCTATAATCGTTTTATTTGCTTATTTGCAGGTCGCTCAGAATCCAAAGAGAATCGGCGACCACTGAAGGCACTTCAGAATGAAAAGCATGCGACTAAATCTTCGAAAGACAAAGCATCGATTGCAATTAATGTTGAAGACAATGTAAGTATAGCTAGCTATACGTGAACTAGGAGGAAACTATCAAACTTATTCTCTAAAAGTGACTAATTTTGTTGTTTCAGCAAAGAAACGTCAAAAAAGAAGTTCCACGGCCGGTGAAGGCAATTAGCAGACCACCTTTTTCACTTTATGGACGCGGAGAACCATCAAATAACCACATGACTTACAACGTGCTTTCGCCTGATCATGTTAGCGAATTTATTTGATAAACGAATTTTCTGTCTCATTTTTCGTTGAGTGGCATGCTTGTGATTTTTAGGCAAGGATTCAATCACATTGTCATTTAAAAAATTTTCTGATTATTTTTGACGCTAGGGGTTTTGGCTCAAGTATTTTGCGGCTTTGCTATTGCTTTGAAAGTTTTGTTTCGGTGCTTGATAAACTTAAGTCATTTAACTTGATAAACTCTTACCAGAACAAATCGAGATAAATATGGAAAATTTGGTTCATCTGGTGTATTTCGACTTGTAGCTTCAGTCTTGTTTTTGATCTGCCTTGCAAGTTTCTGTTGTATCGCAAGTGGTGCGAAGCTACGCTTCGCCTCTATATTTTAAGGGCTAATCAAAACAATTTGCTGAAGTCAAGGGAAATTATGCTCTCCGGTAACGAAAATGAAAGTCGCCCGAAAAAACGTGGTTGACTTACGAAAGTGGATTTTAATTTCTATTTTGTCATCATCCAATTTTTTGAAAGACCAATTGTCTGTTAGCTGTTTTTGTGTATTTTTGTGAAATTGTCTAAATGTAAAATTATCTCTTTGTGTGCAGATCTACCGATTCAGTTATTCTGAAATATGATTACACAAGCAAAGCGTAGTGTATTCTTACGAAGAATTTTTTTTCTAAGCTAAGTGGCAAATAAAAGTGCTCATTTAGTGGCACGTATTTCGATTTAATCATTTTTAAGCTTACATGAACATAACCAATTTAATGGCATACGTTTCTGCTTTATTTTTGGCTAGCGTTAGATCCGGTTTGGAAAAAAACATGTATTGTAAAAATGTATGGGATTTGTTGTTTTTCACTTTTTGCGACGCCTTAGAAAATTTTTGCGCTTTTCGCACTAGTTTCAATTTATCTCAATAACTAATGTACCGATTTTCAAGAAAATGGTACCAATCGAAAAATCGGCTGCTCTTCTATGTGCCTGCATTTTTCGCTAGTCTTTTTTAGTTTTACCTCACGTTCTGCAGCCTTCGAAAATTTCAGGTTGATTTGACATTTTGGTTAATTTTTAGAAACTTCTACTTTTCTCAAAAACTACCCTGCCAAATCTAAGATCTTTTTAAATTCAAACAATCAGTTTTGCAAATCTTACCTGCCTAAACGGCTATGCCCTTCGTTTGGAAAAAAGTATGGCCTTAGAAAATGTCTTCAAGAACGAACCTGGTGATTCTGAAGTTGATAGTTCTTTAAAACTAATATGGTGCTTAGGTTTTCCCTCCGCTGTTTGTTTTACTTTTGTTTTTGTAGAAAAGCTGATATGGACTTTGGAAAAATTCATTTCGAAATTTAAACAGATTTTTCTTTAGAAATTTTGTCTTTATTTTCGAAAACTACTAGCTAAATCTGATATTAAAAGTTCAATCTAAAACATCAAGGTGCGAAAAGCTTCAATCTGAAAATCAGGGTGTGGAAAGCAGAGGTTTTTCCCATGTTTGGAAAGAGAAAAGTGTATGGATTTAGGAAAAGCCAAATTTTTGAATTTTTGATCGATTTTTAGAATCTAGTTCACTTTTTCGATAACTACCCAACCAAATCTCAGATAATGACTTCAATTGAAAAATTCAGTAGTAGTTTTCCCCTTTAAATAAGCGGCTAATCCCCTATTTAAGCAGAGAAACGCTAGAGTTTAGCGTAAAGTCCACTTTTTACACAAGCCAGTTTTAGTGAGCGTTGCGACATTTGAAATTTTGAAAATTATGCAATTCTGTTTCAATACAAAATGATTCAAAATATTAGAACAGGTAGATCTATCATAAACTGGGTCACTAGTTTACTTCCGAGCGATCGTGGCGCAGTAGCGAGGACGTGAGGCTCCTAATCAACTGGTCGGATATTCAATATTCAAATCCGGAATATTTAAATGGTTTTTGCTACTTAACGGCATTTTAATATAAACTGCAGCTGATATATTGGTGGCTAGTCTTAGAAAAGTTACAAGCGGCTGTGAAATTATGATACTTCTAATCTCAACAAGGTTTTTTTTTCAAGGTGTAATCGATTGCGATTAGCCAGCGTTATCAAACTGGAATATAGACTTTTTTCTAATTAACAATTAGATTAACAAAATCTGTTGAATCAGTTTGCTCGGCTGTTAGCCTCTGCCTAAGGTAACTGATAGCAACATATTAGAATGCCTGTCAACCGAATTTTTCCGAGCACCAGTTAATACTTTTAACTGGCGGTTCTATTCGATTTTTTTTTGTTTTTAGTGAATCCTCTTGTTTTTAGTTTTTTTTTGCTTTTTATTTTTCGCTTTCTTTTAAAACGTTTTATAGCTCAACTTTGATAACTTTTCCGGCTCAACAGTCTTCTGCTCAAATTTTTTTGCTCTCAGTTCTTAATACTTATGTAACACTGGCAGTTGTATTTTTCCTTCGCCTCTGTGTTTTACTTGCGAGAGCAAGTGCCTTGTAAACGGGAACTAGACTTTTTTCTCGTAAACAACTTTTGTTACACCTCTGCAAGAAATTGTGAAGTTTTTTATCAGTGAAACTTAGCACCTTCGAGACTTTTCACATTTAACCTAGAGGTAACGCGGATGCCTTTGTACCTTAAGGTTTTGTGTTTGAATTCGGTCGGACCTTCTTTTTTAAGTATTTATGAAATTGTAATTTTTTTCCGGCAAAAAGTGATTTGTAGGATTTTCGTTTGTCTGCTTATGTTTTGTCGGATTACTTGCGAGGAATTTTCTTGTGCTGCCAGCAACTTTGATCGTAGATGCAAGTGTTTTTGTTTCACTCCTGTAATTTGTAAAGTTAAAGGCCCTGAGGTTATGTTGTCTTTAGTTTTTCTGTTATGTTTTTGCTCAAAAGCTTTATTGGGCCTAAATAGTTTCGGTTCATTTTTATAGGCTTGGTTACTTATTTTGTGTCTTTTCAAAGGCAAAAAATGGCTGATTTTTTTTTGAATTTTTCAGGTGGTTTCTGTAGCAACATTTCAAAGTTAATAATTGGACTGCTCAAAATTTTTAATGACAATTGCTTATGATTTTTTTGGTTTTTGGCTGACTTGGCGTCTACCCGCTTTTATCGGCTTAGGTTCTGCTCTTTTATTAGTTAAAGTTTATTTAAATGTGTTTTTCGATTGTTTTTCTGAAATTATTTCAGTTTTCCCATTTTTTTTCGATTTGGTTATTTTGTTCTCATTTTCTATTCGCTAGCTTGCAATGCTGCGATTGAGTTGTATCGCAAGTACTGCGAAGATCCGCTTACCCTCTGTGCGTGTCTTTCAAGTCCTTTATTTATCCACACGTTCAGTCTTTAATTTAACTCTGCTACCTGCTTTTTTGTTGCCTATGCTGTTATTGAGTCTAAACGTTATCAAAAACATATCCTTTTAATTCTAGGTGTACGATTCAGCTAGACGTGCTAAAGAAAATCGAGAGGCCCTGAAGGTCAAATACTCGAAAGGCAAGACTGAAAAGAGCTCGCCTAGACAGCTGATTGCCGTTCAGTTTGCGAGAAATAACGAAGAAAATTGGATGAGTGAGTATCAGCACTGCTACAGTTCCAGAGCGACCACAACTCGAAGCTCATTAGATTAATTGAATAACGTGACAACTGAAACTCATAGCTTATTTGTTTTTCTGATTGTGTTTGTCAGTTTTGTGCAGGGTGACCTTTACAAGTGACCAGATAGGTTCAGCGGATACCCTTCTCCTTAATTGGGACATGCATAAAAGTAACAGGAACTAAAATCATTGAATTGGGTCCTCAAAGAGGGATTAATTTCTGTGCACTTTTTGGAAAAACTGTTTAGTAGATCCGCTTCTCCCAGTCTGATGGGATGAGCTTGACCGGGTATACCTATTGACATTTCATTAGTGTAAGTTTACAGAACAGCTGCTCACTCTGATATTGTGTAAAAGTGCAATTTATGAAATTTATTCAATAAATTAAAATAAAGATTGAAAATTCGTTGAATTTAATTATATTCAAGTTTATTTAATGGTTGATCAGCGTCAACAAAATTTGAAATGTGTTTGTGTTGAATTGAGTTTTAATTGAATACTCTTATTATGGGAAAACGATCGATCTCTGTCAATTCATCAACTTTGCGATCATAATGTCGGTCTTTCAAAGGGGGCGTACGCAGTGCTGGATTTGCACTATTTTCACAAAATGAAAGAAGTTAAAATTTCTAAGGCGCAATTTTCAACCTAAAAAGTCTGTGCTTTCTAATAATCAAAAGTTCGGACTATTGTGTTTAAGAGTCGCCTGAACGTAGTGCAGACTCTTGTATAGGTTGCGATGATGTTTTTTTTTCGGGAAAAGTGGTAAAATTTGTTCAGTCTCAAATTGATTTTTTCGCGGTTTGAATTTTGTGTTTTTTTTTAATTCAGTTAATTTCTTTTGTTAAAAGGAAGGCAAACTCCACCATTGAATAGTAGCGAAAGTGCAAAAGTCACAGAAAACCTGATCGGTTTCTAGTTTCGAAAGTGCAATTTAATAATCAGATTTCCCAGCGAAATAAAAAATTTGCGTTTTGATCCTGTTTTCTCAAGTTGGGGTTATGTTATCAAAAAAGTGGCAATCATATATTTTTCTAGAAATTCAAAGAGCTTTAAGGGCATAGAATTTTTTCTTTGAAATTCAAAAGTTGAGACGTTTTCAAAATCAAGTCTGATTTTTTTTCCGTTTACTTGCATGCTTGGACTCTTTGTTTCTGGTGTTTTTGTAGGTTTATTTTCTAAGGCGCGTGTTTCTCTTGAAGTTTTCGCTATCAACCCTTGCGATAAGCAATGGTTTTGCAACCGGGTACTAGACTGTTTCCCCGTAAAAAAATTTGTTCAGAAAATGACTGAAATAAGTGATGACCATCTGTACTTTCGTCAAGGAATAGAAAATTTTTGAGTATGTCTGCTTTTAAATGGTTCGTTTTGTTCAGAATTAATTTTTTATGTTGGTTGTAAATGTACCAGCGCAGATAGCAGCATGTCCGTTTTTTTTAAAAATTTTTTATTTGTTTTTTTTTCTGTTTATTTGGCTGATAACACATCGGCTTAGAGGCCTCTTTTGGAGTCGCTTGAGGGGCAAAAAGTTTTTATCTAAAAGTTTTGAAGGGGACATGAGTTAAATTTTTTAAGTTTAGTTTTTCTAATGAGGTCAGCTTTTTTTCGGCTTAACGTGTGTCCGCTCAACAATTGTCGGCTTTGTTGCCGTTCTGTAAGTTTTGTTTGAAAATTTGGAAGTGTTTGAAAATTTTGAAAGTGTTTTTGGTTTTTAAAATTTGTATTCCTACGGATGTGGCTTTGGACCTTCTTTTTTAACTGCCGGATAGCTTGTCATGATGTTTTGTGTGGTATCATCGCAAGTGGTGAGAAGCCCTGCTTCGCCTTCATGTGCAAATCTCTCTGATTTCTCGTGTTGATTTAGCCTTATTGAAAACGTGCCATTTATCTTGAAGATTTCTTGAAATTGAGGTGTCTGTTTAAATTATTCAGCTCCTTGAAAATTTTAGAAGTTAGCGCTTCGGGTGTGCCGCGCAAAATCAAGTACCACGAATAAACGTGAGATAGGTGTTTGAAGGATTTATTTTTTAAAGAACCTTATAGCAATGGTTGAAGATTCACTCCTCTTAATTCATTTTAAGCTGCTCAAAATGGCTAGAACTCCGATGTGAAGTCAGTTTCATTAAGTTTTTTTTTCGGCCAGTTTTGACACTATCAAGAAAAGTAGCCAATCATAAACAAATTCAAAGAGCTTTAACGTTATATATTTATTCTTTCGAATTTCGATAGTTGAAAAAATTTCAATCATTTTTTGTAGGTTTCTTTAATTTTCTACCCTTGTCCAATTTTCTGTCGGCTATGTTCCTATTGGTTGAAGGATATTAGTAGTAGGTTTCTTTAATTTTCTACCCTTTTCCAATTTTCTGTCGGCTATGTTCCTATTGGTTGAAGGATATAAGTAGTTCACAAACCCTTCAACTAAAAAATAAGTTTTATAAAAATAATTGTTTAATTAGCGTAGTTAGCTGGTCACTTGTGGTTGGAGTTTTTGAGTTGACTATGCCCGCTCTTCAGTCGGAGTGGGAGACCCTTCCGTTGGTCTCGTTCGACGCCTCGGACCTTCGGTTCCTTCATCTCCAGTTCCGGCTGGAGCCTCATCTTCGTCCTCTCCTTCTCTCTCTTTATCCCTCTCTTGCTCCTCTATGGCCTGTTTGTCCAAATAATTAGTCACCATTTCATCGAGTCGACCGAACGGAAAGTCGAACAGAAATGTGAACAACATTGCTATCAAATGTGAAAGCGCCAAGTTTCCGATGAAAAACACAAACAAACTCCAGTTAGTAAGGTGGAAATCACCCTCGTTTGTAGTGTAGTAAAACTGGATAACTAAACAGTTGATTAGGTAGATCATAAAGGCTTGCCGGCCTAAAGGCTTCCAGAAATAGATGGACAGAAATGTATTCGCAGGGCCTCCATAATTTTGACAGCATGCCCAGATTATCCAAAATATTGTCATGGACCAGGTAAAAGGCAGTAAAGCGTTGAATGCGGCTGCTCCACCCGTGCCTGGGAACATTCCACTGAACAGCCCAAAGTCGCAAAATAGGCACAACATTTGGAGCAGAATCGCGAGGAACCACAGACATACAGCTGCGACCCGAGGCAAGTTACGTTCGGCTTGTGGGTACGAAAAAATAACAATGCCGAGAACAACTCCGCAGCCGTAGCTGGCGAACCTAGTATAAGGTTTGTTGTAGATAATTTTGTAGAACTGCCACGTGTTTTTATAATTCTTGTATAGTTCATTGTGGAAAAAGCCTGCGGTGGCTCCTGGCGGCAAATCATAGGCCATGCTGAGAGCGAATGTTATGATGATGCAGATGCCGACTAATGCACAGACGACGGCGATGCCGATGATGGGACGTCTGAATGCCAAGTAAATGATTCCTGCCATGATGAGGAAAAACTGGAAATCACATGCCGAGAACCAAGTCCAGCCTGAAAACAATGGCATGCTTAAGAATCGGTAAAACATTAAGTTCTTATCCAAATTTGTGCCCTCGTTCTCCGGGGCAAGAAAATCGTAAACTGCAAATTTGATTAATTGAAAACTCAGAGCGAGTGAAATTATGCTATCCATTGTCGAAAAGCTCGTTATTAATTTGTGCTTTGGACCTACCCAGGCATGGTGTATCTGTATAGATGAAGTTCTGTATATACAAAGGAATAGTCCACCAATAGTCATTGCAGTTCTCCACTTGATTCAAACCCGGTTGCCACATTGGCCCAGTTCCGTTTCCCATAACGTTCCAGATGCCAATGGTGATCAGGACTATGATGAGAATGACCAGAGTCTGTCTGATGTACCTTCTGGCAAAGTACCACACCCAGAAAAGAACATTCAGATGATTCACCCTCATTTCCAGCCTCTCCAGCAGCACAAACGTCATCAGGAACCCGGCGACTACTAAGAGGGTATCCACTGCATACGTAGCATGGAGTGCCATCACAATGAGGAAATCAGTGCGCAGTTCCTCATAGGCATATTGTAGATTGTCCAACTGAACCATTGGGTCACAGAGAAAGAAGAAAAGAGCAGTGTGACCTAATATTATCCACCAAAGACTGAGGACTTTGATGCCCTCTAGACATCGGAACCTTCGACGCTTTTTACCGATGTAGAATACTGTGACATTTGTGTATAAAGACCAACATCGCACGACTTGCACCCAAAGCCGAACGTCAAGGTTGCCGAGGATCTCGGGTAGTCGGCTTATTGTAGATGAGGTCTCTGTGAATGTCTGGTTTGAGAATACTGATTCGAGGGAACCTTTTGAACCCGATTCACCCCTCTCTTCTCGGACTTGTCTGTTCATTTTGTGAATGTACCATCGAATCCAAATATCGATTGTAGTACCTGAAAGTTCAAACGCACTACACAAACTGCAGAGAAATTATACTAGTTGAGCAATTAATGCGATAAATAAGGATATTGTAATTGTACTAGATTTTTCCGCAAATAAAATTGTTTTTCTTGCGCGTGTGTGTTCTCTGACGGGAAAAAGAACATTTTTTAAAGACTCGAATTTTTCTGAGTTTCTTTTCGGCATGAAGGGTTTATGCTCTGGTTTTTTCGGCTTTGTTACCGCTTAGTAATTATAAATTGAAATCGAATCAACCATCCGGGGCATCGGCGAAGAGGTAAAACAACTGATTGAGATGGCAAAGATTTCCGCTTCGAATCCAGCCGGGCCTTTTTTTGCAAATTAGAGTGTTTGTGCTTTTTCGCATTATCGTCCGTGTTAAATTTTGTCGGTTTAGTTCCCGTAGCTCGATGGCTCAGTTTTTTTTCTAAATTGCTGTAACCCCCATACTTGAGACGACACACCTCGGGAGTTCGAGATTTTGATTCCAGTTAAGACTTGTTTTTCTTGCAAATAGAAAATTTCGGCTAATTTAGATTGTCTGTCTGCTTATTTTTCGGCTAACGTAGATTGTCTGTCTGCTACTTGGCTTCTCGTTAGCATTTGCAAATCTCTTCGTAGAGTTTCTAATGATACAGGCAGTTTTGTGCCGAATATTTTGGGCTTTTGTTTCTATTTTTATTGACAAAACGTTTTTTTTGTTTGATTTTCGTAACTTTCATATTTGTATTGCAAGTGGTGCGGAGCTTATCTTCGCCTCTGTGTTATTATTATGATTTAAATTACTATTATCAGTATTATGGTTATGATTATTACTAATAATCTTATTATTATTATGATTATCGTGATTTTGACTGTTATGGTTATGGTTCTTATTATGATTATGATTATCATAATTGTTAATTTTATTTGAATGATTATTACTCTTGTGATAAGTTAGGGTAATGGAACCGGGCACTAGACTTTTTTTTACCGTAAACAACTTTGTCCACAGGACTCATGTGGACGCCTGTGTTAATCTCTACCTTGTTTCATAATGTATTCAAATTTCCTAGCGTTTCCGGCCAACTTATCTTGGAGGTAACGGATTTGCCAGGGACGTCAAAGGTCATGGTTTCAAATCTGACCAGGATTTGTTTTTCTAAACGTCTGCTTCTCTCTGTTTTTTTTTCTGCCCCCATTTTTTGTTAGGGTTGTTTTTAGTGTTTGATTTACGCCTACATTTTGTAATTTTACTTACCTTGACTTCGTATTTCCTTTGTTTTCCTTGTTTCGCTAAAAATATTTCTCGGCCAAAATGATTTTGGCTTGTTTTTCATCGGCCTTATGGCCTCGATTATCGCCGTTTCAAGACAAACACAATTTTAGCACTCCCCTCCGCACTTTTCAAGTTGATTGTATGTTTACCAATCGTTTTGTCGAATTTTCAATTTTTTCGTTCTGGATTTTTTCCCCTTTTTTGCAAAAACTTTAGTTTGTCTCAGAAACGTCTCCTAAATTTCAAAATAGGGGCATTAGTTGAAAGACCTTACTCTTCTGTGTGCATGCGTACTCCCCTAGAGTGTTTTTTTTTCACTTGACCTCTCTGTCTACAGCCATCGAAAAAGTGTGGCTGAAAGTTTGACCCATTTTTTTCGTTTTCTCGAAAACTACCCGTCTCAAATATGAGTTTTGGTTTCAATGATTTGAAATGTTTTGTAAAGCTCTACTGCATAAGTGGCTGCGACCATACTTTTTTTGCACCCTAAGTAATGGCCCTGGGAATAGTCAAATTTTTGATTTTTGAACTTTTTGTGAATGTTTTCGACTTTTCTCGAAAATTAACTTCTCAAATCCGATTTTGTGGATTCAAGGAGACAACGGGTAGTGAAAAGTCCTCTGTATTAGCGGGCTTTAACAAAGAGTGTTACACAAGAAGTTATCACCCTCTGAATATTCCAATTTTTAATTTTTTGACAGTTCTTTTTTCAAACTTTTTGAATATTCTCTAAAACCACCTAGCCATACCAGAGATTTTGGGTTCAATTTTTAGAACGGATTTCGGGAAGCTGATTTGCTTATGCAAATACGCCCAAGTTTTTGTGACTTTAAAATTTTAGCCCTCGGAAAAGTAAAAGTTTTGATTTTGTGACCGTTTTGTTTTGAAAGTGTTTGACCTTTCTCGAAAACTACTCTCCCAAGTCTGCGACTTTGGGTTCAATCGAAATTGCGAATTTGCAGGTTGCGTGAATTGTTTCTGCATCTTGTTTTGCAATATTTTTTCACACAAAAGAATATGATTCTCGGAATCATCAAGTTTTTGATTTGTTGACCGTTTTTGGACTTATCTCGCTAACTATCCTGCTATCTGATATTAAAGGTTTAATCGATTGAACTGGTTGCTAAAAGCCTACCTTTATGGTTTGTATAATAGAAATGTTATAGCCTTCCAACAATTCAATGTATTGAATCTTTGAAAGTTTTTTGGAAACTTATTGACTTTACGCAAAAACTACCGGTCCAATTCTCAGGTTGTATTTAACCCAGCTCGAGAAACCCAGCTTTGGAAATCTTCTCTGCTTAAGCGGCCATAACTTGCTGTTTGCAGAAAACTTCATGGATTTTAAAAAGTCTTTTGAACCTTTTTTTAGAACTTTTGACCGTTTTCTGGAAACGTTTTGAATTTTCTTTAAGTTTACACTATCAAATGTGTGATGAAAAGTTCCAGTGAAAGAACGGGTTGCGACAATTGTTTCTGCATAAGCGGTGATTCTTCAGTTTTTTGTAAGTGAGTTATTATGGTTATGATTTTTGTTTTTATTTTGTTTATTTTTATGATTGTTTTGATTATGATTATTATGATTATTGTTGTTATTTTGATTATTATGATGATTTTTATGATGATTATTTTGATTAATACTATTAATGTTACTTTTATGATTATTATTATGATTGTTTTGATTATTAATATGATTATTATGATTATTTTTTTATGATTATGATTATTATCATGATTATTTTTGTGATTCTTATTATTATGATTATTATGATGATTATTATGGTTGTTATCATGATTATTATATGATTATTTTTGTGATTCTTATTATGATTTTTTTGATGATTATTATCATTATGATTATTATAATTATTATTATTGTTTGGTTTTATTATGATTGTTATGATTATTATCATTCAGTTATGATTATTATGATTATGATTTTTGTTATGCTTTTTATTATGATTATGATTATTATGACAATTATGATTATTATGGTTCTTATTATGATTATCATGATTATGGTTGTTATGATTATTGTGACTATTGTTGGTATCATATGATTATTATTATGATTATTATTATGAATATTATGTTTAATACTATTAATGTTATTATGATGATTATTTTGATGATTATTACGATGATTATTATCATGATTATTTTTATTATATATAATATTATATTATACAATTGTGATAAAGAAATAATTACCTAGAATACTGGAATCTTTCCTTTCAGCATAAATGCTGCCCCTTATCACGTCTAATTCTGTTTACCTGCTATGACAAGAAGTAGGAATAGCACCAGAACAATCACAGCCAGAATAAACGCTATCTCATATTTCCCGTTGTCAGGGAAGTATACTTTCTGGGGCTCCAACTGAAAGTTATTTCGGGACACATTGAACAGCTTCAAAATATGTCCCGCTTGACAGTCTTCAGGCAGACAAAACGCGATGTTGATTTTGGTCTATAAAAAGCAGATTTTGGTCTATAAAAAGCAGATTTTGGTCTATAAAAAGCAAAAGTGTGTAGGTCACGAAATACGTGATAAACTTCTGGTTTCAAAAATGGAATTTAATTATTAGATTTCTCAGCAAAAGCGAAATAAAACATTAACCTATTGATCCAGTTTTTTTCTATTGGGTTGCTTGCAAAAAAAGTTTCAAACATGAATCGTTAAAAAAGCTTCAAGGCCATCCTTTTTTAGAATTTCGTAATTTGGATTTTTTTTTGAAAAAAAAAAACAAGGCAGTATTGTTACTTGCGTGTGTGTTTATTGACTATTTTCCAACTGACTGTTGGCTATACGTTTAAACCGCAAGATAAACAACTTTGCATCGCCATAAGATTTGTCTCAGGCATATTCCAAAATCATTACGCAGCCAAACTATGCTCAGTTTGCTGTGTGTAAGTCTCTGGAATCCAAAGACAAATCGTTAAAAATGTTAAACGTTGGTCGGTACACTTACAAAAACACAGGATTAATCACTTACAATTCATAAAATACACAGTTTGGCTTCCTATTGATTTTCTTATACCTGATCGTTTGGTGAGGTTAAGTTTTTGTGATAATTGGCTCGAATTTGATTAAGGAAATTAGACGACATTTAAAATAGGCGATCACAAATTAACTGAGTTTAGACAATAACTTGCGTGCGAAATGCGTGAAGAAAATTTACAGACTCAAATTAATTTTTGCTTGAGTAAAAACTCGTTGTCCAACCATAAATTAATAAATTAGGGTATTAATGTCACAGCTGTGTAATTTATGCTTTTCACAAACGTTCATTTTCTATTTAATCAAAAAAATTTTTACCAAAACTACAGCATCGACTTCTGACAAAATTAGATCAAAATGAGCCTCTTATGTGACCCAACAAAATTTAAGATGAGTAACTAAATAAGTAAAATATTTTAGTTTAAAAGCGAAAAACTGTCATTTTTACTAAAACTTAAACCAAAATTTTATTCGATCCGTTAGTTTCGTTGAATTTTTTGATGGACTATAAAACGCCAAAAAAGATCGCTTTTGCGCCAAAAGCTTAGGCGCAATTTTTGCCGAATAAGTTACATCATTACAAATCTATTAAAACTAGCAACTAAACGTGTCTTTTTCGTAGCCCTTTTGCTGCATTGGCAATTTGTTAGCATCTGTCGCTGGTTTGAAAATTTTAAGCGATGTGGTTCAGATGCGAGGACGCAAGTCTCCTAATACCCTGGTTGGAGTTTCGATTCAGGCATACCAACTTTTTTGAGGCTTATTTTTTTTTTCTTTTTCGTTATTTCTTAATTTACATTCTAAAGCTACTCTTTTTGCCGTTTTCTTGCTCGTGTTTGCGGAGTGCAGCTTCATTTCTGCGTTAGAAATTGCTTTTATGCGAGTTATATATTAACTTAGATTTGGTGAATGGTAAGTCTCGACTTCTTGCTTCAGTTATTTTTTTTTGGCAAAGGGTTTTTGGCTGACTCAATAATGGCATTTTTTTTGGCCTTTTATACTACAAACGTACTCTAATTTCGTACTCATCGAGTAACTCATTTTACATCCTAACGAACTTCACGGGGATTGATATTGCAGCTGAGGGTACCAGTTTTCTCATTTATAAGCTTTGTTCAATGGAGTATGTCCGAACATATAAAGTTGCGTCATATAAATTACTGTTGCATGACTTTCATTACTGTTTCCGGGTTGACCTCCATACACCGAAAATGCTTATCATACAATTCCATACAACAAAAATCATTATCATACAATTCCATACATCAAGTATATGGAGAAACTGCTTGTCATACAATTTTCATACATTTCCGAAAAACAATAGAAAAAAAATTAAACCATTTCGGTGGCTTTTTGAGAACAGTTGAACAGACTGGTGACAAAATATTTTAATTTTTTTCTGAAAAAAATGCTTCCCATACAGTTTTCATATATGACACAAAAATCGCGTTTTTTTTTCAAGCGCAAATCGAATTTTGTACGCAAACAAACCTTTTCCGAAATTTTTTTTTTCCATGCAAAATTTAATTTTTTGTGTGCTTAACGTAGTCCTGGATACGATAATATTGGCTTTTTTCTTTTCACTTGAATTTTTTTTTACAAAAAAACGCTGAAAATTCCTATTTCTTTTGTATGGCGTGTTTATGTATGCCTTGATCAATGTCTGATAATTTGAAAATTCACAAATGTAAAATAATCATCATTGAAAAATTTTGCCGAAAATTAAAAGTTTGTTACTTTTTTTATATCATTTGTGAAAGACAGCTCGATGACAATTCAGGTAGTTTTCTATGCATTGTAAATGCAAGACCGCCCAACCTTTGGTGTTTTGAGTAACCAAGGTCTTTGTCACTTGTGTTCGGTTGCAAACACAACCGAAAATTTGTCAAAAAATAAAATTACGAACAAAAAAACAACTTTATGGGAAATTGCTTATTTCTATTTATGGGAAAATGCTTATCATAGAGTTTTCATACAATTTTCTGTACGTATGGAATTGTATGAAATTGTATGAAAAGAAATTTTCAATTTATGAGAATTTTATGAAAAGCATTTTTGGTCAACCCGGGTTATTTAACTATTGTGAGATTTTGAGTCGTACGAAATTAATACGACTGCTTAGCTAGCCTCAATTCATTTTGGGACGTTTTTGTTGGGCGAGAAAAGATGCCACGCTTATATAATTCGTTTTACGCGTTCAACATCATGAACAAAAACTTCAAAGCTCGCATAAATTAGTCCAAAGCTAGGCCAAATTGGCAATTTTAAAACTCCCATAACTTTGCAAAAATTGATCGGAAGTAAAAAATCAATTACATTCATTTGATTTCAGGGAGTCGGCATCTTCAATGGGGTAGAAAAAATTTTTGTTAAAATCTGTTGTTTCGATTGCCCAAAAATGGCTGAATAAAAAGCCACCCAAGCTCAAATGTTACGTTTTCTTCGAAAGTCGGAACAACACAGATATCTGTTAGCAAATTAGTAATTCGTTGTTGATTGTTTTTTTAGCATCTGAGACAATCTTAACTGCGATTTTTCGTTTTTCGCTGTCTTTGATGTTTTCTTTCAGAACCAAAAGTTACACCTTAGTACCAAAGTCTATAAATTCGTTCTCTTTAATTTAATAGTGACCGCGGCAGTCGCGGTAACGTGTTGACGGTTTGCCGATAGATGAAAACAATTTTTTTATGGAAATGCAGCGAAGCGTCACTTGCATGTTTTATGAGGAGAAAGCTAAGCGAATAAAATGTTTTTGTAGAATAGTCAAAAAAGAAAATTTCGATATCAATTAAGACTAATAGTCAAACGAAAAAAGGGAGGGGTACAATAAGTAAAAAAAGAGAGGAAGGTGCCTTTATGGGGCTTGTGTAGTTGGCTCCGGCTAGTTTGAACTGGACTATGCTGGCAAGGAATGCGAACGAGTAGGATAGGGTGCCTTCTGTCACCTGAAATGTGACCGTGCACAGAGAGGGTCTTCCCAGCCAGTTCAGGTTGCCCTGGCTGATCCCGGATTCGGTTTTGCCCCACGAGTCAATAATTTGAAAAGACCTGAAAAATAAATTTTTTGTTTATAATGTATTCTGTACGCAGTCAGCTTGGGTTTTTTTTCTGCCTGGAGCAGAAATGTTTCAAGTGTTTCCTTTGCAAAAGGGCAGGCTCACAAACAAGATATTTGTTTCAGTAGTGTTTAGATTTCGCAAAAAATATTTTCAGCTTTTGAACAACCTTTGGAGTTTATTTTTACATCCTTTTGAGAGAATGCTTGGGAGAGACGAAATAACTTTTTTTTGTCTTGATATTTTCCGCCGAGTAAATTATCAGCTTATCGGCTGTTTTTTTTTTGCTTATTATAAAAAAACTTAACAATTAAAATTTGTACACACGCACAAAAAACGACAAAAATTGGTTAAATGAATTTTAAAAAGATGAATTTTGCAAATGTTTTAGTAAAAGTAACCTTTTTGATACGGGATATTTTTGTTATTGTTAGTTACTTACTGTCTACTGATCAGTGAATGATCTTTTAAACTAACATTCGATTATTTTATGTTTTCATGGCCTTCGCAGGCAGCTACGTAGCGTAAGGTACCCGGGTCGAGATCCCGCTCAAAAACAATGTGAGCGACTTTTTTCAAATGCTCGAGCAAAATAACCACTGGAAAATATGTAAGATTTGAGCGGTTTGAGCGGTTTTTTTAGACAATTACGGTCAAAATCTTGCTTCAAAATGAGCGGTTTGAGCGGTTTTTGAACGGTATGTCTAAAAAAACCGCTCAAAAACCGCGCAAGATTTGAACGGTTTTGAGCGGTTTATCTAAAAAACCGCGCAAGACTTGAGCGGTTTTTGAGCGGTTTTTTTAGATAAACCGCTCAAAACCGTTCAAATCTTGCAGGGTTTTTGAGCGGTTTTTTTTAGATAAACCGTTCAAAAACCGCTCAAACCGCTCATTTTGAAGCTAGATTTTGAGCGTAATTGTCTAAAAAAACCGCTCAAACCGCTCAAATCTTGCTTCAAATTAGGTGAAAAATCTCGACTCGGGTAACTATTCACTAGCAGAGCGTAGTTTTTGAAACGCGTTCCAATTTCCAGCGGAAGGAACACTGTGCAAAAGTAATCATGTGCAAAATGACAGCTGTGTCAGAACGAGCTATGGTTTCAAATTGAGCATCTGAAAACCAGTCTTTTGGGTTTGGTGATGATAACTATCTCTCCCCCCTCCCATTACGTTCAATGTCCATCAGCAGACTCCGAATGGAACTGGGTGGGGTACCTGAGCTTGTGAGCCTTCTCCTCGTCTTTGTTCTGGTGAGTGTGATAGAGACACTGGAAGATGGTCTGGATGTGGTCTCCACACACTGTGCCCGCCAGACTCTGACTGCTAAACACTGTGTCCACCAACACTCCGTCTGTCCGGCCTGAATAGAAAAAACATAACCAACAGAAAGTTGGAAAAAAGACGTCAAATATCGAATTTAAAAGAAAAAAATTTATCACCTTTGATTTTCAAAAACTATTTATGATTGGCACTTTTTTTGATGATTTAGCCCACTTCGAGAAAATTGGATGATTTTGCATTTCGAGAAAAATTTTTCATTTTGCTGAGAATTCTGAAAATTCAATTTCTCTTTCGAAACTAGTAACCGATCACAATTTTTGTGCACTTAATTCTTTTGCTGTCCGAAAGTGGAGTTGAACGGAACTTAAAAATAAGTCAAAAGAGACCGGGAAAGAGTAAAACAGCCTGAAAATTTTTTGAAACTTCTCATAAAAAACGAAAAAACAAGCTTATCACGACCTGAATAAGAGTCTAAACTGAAGAGTTCATCGACTCTTAAAAAGAACAAAAAAGGAAGAAAACGGGGTAAGAAGCACCCCACTTTTCTTGATAGCATAAAAAACTGCCGGATTTGTTTGTAAAACAATTGCATTTAGAAACAAGGGCTCTTTTTCCTTTTCCCCCCACCTGAAAGATTTTATCTTTTAAATTACTGTTCACCTTGTGCAATTGTCATGAAAAGTGACATGCAGACTAATTATGTCATTACAAACATATTTGGTTTTCAAAACTAACCTTGTAAAACCACTTGTTATACCATAAAATTCATGTTGTTCGGAGGTGGTGGGTGGGGGGGAAGGGAAAAAGAGCCGAAACAAGGATAGCTATTTGCTGTGAAAGTAGCACAGAAAATCCGACCTGGTTCAAAAAAAATAGCAAGAAATTGTTTTTTTCTTCAAACTATTTCAAGCTTCTTTCGCTCGGTGTGATAAGAGAACTCTGTAGAAATGCGTATGAATATATTTATTTAAGCATAATTGAGAAAAATTGTCGGCTCTTTTCCAGTCTCCCCCCTCCTTTCATATTCAACTTTGAAAAGCTTATTTAACGTTGTCATAATGCAATGAAATTTGGCGTGGTGAACAAATCGACAACTGTTGACAACTGTGAACAGATTTGTACTTCATAGTTTACAGCGTAACATCACGCATTTAGCCGTAATAACACGTAAAACAAACAAAAAACTCGGTGTTTTGAAAGGTGGGGGGGGGGGGGTAACTGGAAAAGAGCTCACTTGTCTTCTAAAAATGAATAACTAACAAAAAACTAAAAAAAGCCAAACAAAAATCCTTTTTTTCAAAATTTGTTTGCTTTAAATCAATTTTTGTCAAGAAACTTTTTTTCTCACTAAGGGCGCTCTGAATGATCAGTTTTCAAGAAAAGAAGGTTACTCGATTGCTTTACTCGCTCGCAATTAGACCATAATTTGAAAATTTCGAACCAGATTTTCTCGCTACTGGGTCATTTAAAAAATTTTTTTTGTCATTCGAAGCAATGGCATGTCACTCGACCCTTCCGATGATAAATTGTGGCACTTGATTTGTCGTGAAAAAGCAAAGATGAAAGCAAAAATTTCAAAACCCACCCAAATACAACTTTCCTCGTCGTTTTCAATAGTCAAAACAGAAAAAAAATTTCATTGAAAACAGAATAAGTATTGTTCTCTCGTCTTTCGTTCACACTAAGTTGCTGTCATGGGATTTATAACAGTTAGAATCATATCAAATAGCCTTTTCGAAATTGTGTTCCAGCAAATGAAGGGGATTGAAAAAAAACCAAATCTGAAAACCAGATGAAAACAATGTTGACACAGATTGGCCTGTTTTCCACAGTTTGGGTTGTTCAATCTAAATTTTCCCCCTTTCCACTCTCACATTTCAATGCTGCAGTTTTTAAGCTTGTATTAAGTTTTATTATGTGTTCTCGACAAGCATGGTTGCTTAAAAAGACAGTAAGACATAATTTAGTTCATAATTTTTTACCTTAAGAATTTAGTAATTTCAATTTTTTGCGCAACCCTTATTTATTTCACAATTACAACTTTGTTGTCACTTGAACAGTTTCCATTTTCAACAGTTTGGTGAAAATTATTTGTTTTTTCCCCAGTTTCTCACCCTCCTTGTAAAATTACAAAAAGTTCAAATAAAGTTCACAAGGCAATTTGCATGTAAGAAATGGGCTCTTTTCCAGTCCCCCCCTTTGATTTTTTCCGAAATTCAATATGTGGAACTCAATTTAAAATGACTTTTCTGAATATAAACTGCAATAAAACGTGTCAGCGTGAACAAGTGAACAAATTCCTACAACATTTTTTACATGCAAATGCCGTGTGAACAATTTTTAAACTGCTTAATTTTGTAATTTCCCGAGGGGTGTGGGAAACTGGAAAAGAGCCAAGAAATGTTGTGAGAATGTGATCACGTGTTCACGCTGACAAGTCTCAATGCAATTTCTGCTTTTTAAATAGACTTGAATTTCAAGTTATTTCATAAATTGAATATCACAAAAAAATGAAAGGGGAGAACAGGAAAAGAGTCCAAAATTTCAACAAATTGATATATCATGTGAAGTACGCGCAGAACCTGGCAAAAAACAACTGAAAAAAAATGGCGGCTAAGTAAAATTATTTGAGTAAAGTTGAAAATAAACCTAAATAAGTTCAAGTTCAGATGACGACAGTTGAAGGTTTTCTTAGTTTCTTAGTTTTAGTGAGATTTTTGGTAAAAACTGACCCAAAACATTGTAAACGAAATGACTTCATTATAACCAACCATTTTTACACTAGCGAAGCTAGTGTATTAGTGCGATCCATACATCATGTGGCTTAATGCTTTGCGATTTGCTATATGCAATGTTAGTGTGGATATACCTTCAGTTAGTATTATTGTTCCGACTTTCGATACGAAAGTAACGGAATATTTGTGCTCGGGGTGGGTTTTTTTTCTTCAGACAAATTTCGACTTTTTAACTAGCCATTTTTGACGGAATTTTTTTATATCATTCGAAAGGTATTGTTGTCCTGAGCTCAAATTTGAAAAGATATTTCACCTGTGATCATTTTTTGTAAAGTTTTGGGGTCTTAAAGATTGTCATTTTGGCCAGTTTGGGACAATTAACGCGCGATATATTTCGCGCTATTAACGCGTAAGCGGAGAGTTAATCCGTCTTAGAAATCGTTCCAAATTGATCTAACGAAGCTTATTTGCCATACGTGATTTGTTACAAGCAGCAAAATCTATCCTTTTGTACTTTATATGGCGTATGGGGGGATGATTTGGCTCTTTTCCAGTTTCCCCCCCTTTCAAATTCAATTTTGAAAAGCTTACTTAACGTTGTCATAATGCAATGAAATTTGGCGTGGTGAACAAATCGACAACTGTGAACAGATTTGCTCTTCATACTTTACAGCGTAACATCACGCATTTACACGTAATAACACGTAAAACAAACATAAAACTCGGTTTTTTGAAAGGGGGGGAAACTGGAAAAGAGCCGATGATTTTTATAAAAAATTTCAAATTTTTGAAAAAAAAAATTCATTTTGTTTTATTACTTTTAACTTTTTAACGATATTACTGCTCCATAAACCTTAATGGGCAGTCGGAACATTCAGGGCTTCGCCCTGATACGAGCAGTCTTGTTTTCCATTATGTTCTAAATAGCTCAGGAAGCATTTATTCTATAAATCTTTCATTCCGATTTAACTATTACGTAAATCGGTTTACTGGTGTGGTAATTTACTGACATCGGTTTACTGTACGCACCCGGTAATTTTAATTTTCATTGCTTAGTGACAACAAAAAAAGTTTTAGGAAATGTATCCAAATGTGGAAAAAAGTGAAAAACAATTCAATCTTTGATCACATTGCAAGTTTTTGAGCCAAAATCCGGACTTCGAAACTACCATCCAGTCAAACTCGACGTCTAAAATTGGTCGACGACAAAGTCGAACTCGGTATTTCAAAAAAAATTATTTCTTATTAAAAAAATTGTGAAAGTTTTTAGATACCTCTTTTTTGAACGCGGCTCTTTTCCAGTTCCCCCCTTTCAAATTCAATTTTGAAAAGTCTATTTAACGTTGTCATAATGCAATGAAATTTGGCGTGGTGAGCGAATCGACAATTTTTGTTCTTCAAACTCTACAGCGTAACATCACGCATTTAGCCGTAATAACACGTAAAACAAACATAAAACTCGGTATTTTGAAAAGGGGAGGGGAACTGGAAAAGAGCCTTGAACCCTTGAACGCTTTCTGGACACTTTGGATTACAACTTCTCGAGAGCCAAAAAATCAAAAGCAGTACGGAAAATCAGTTTACCTGTGATTTCATCAACTGGGAATAGAAGACTCAAGTCGCTCTGTGTCAGCTGCTCGTAAGCTTCGAAGTCAATGTAGGGGACATAGCCGCGTACCTGTGAAGCTGTAAACACCACTGCAACAATCAAAGCTATGTACATCGGGCACCCCGAGTAATTAAAAGTGTACTTCATACTGGTTGCATGGTTTCGATTGGAGTTCTTGAAATTAGTGATGTCGAAAAGACACGTGTAATAAATTAAAAGTTGCATAACTTGCATTTTGGCTACCAAAAAAAATCCCTCGGTTCTTCAACCCTCATCCTTGATATACATACCAGCCTCTGAGGGGGTAGCGCATGTCAAAAATGCATTTTTTGTTGGCTAAAACTATTAAAAAACCCAAAGCAGCATTTTTGGCTCTTTTCAAAATCGCGCGTGGGGTGCAGAAAAAAGTTGCAGAAAAGGTTTTTATTTCATTTTTCGAAATCTCAGAAAATCAAATTGGTGAAAATCTATAAAATTCGTCAAAATTTTCAATTTTCCTATTGTCCTCCCCCGTCCCCAACCGATAAAATCCAATATGCGTACCTGCACACTCCAATTAAAACATTTTGAGGCTCTTTTCCAGTCCCCCTTCTCCTTTAAAACTCTTCTATATGAAAAAAAAAACTAAATGGGGGGCTCTTTTATATGAAAAAAACCAAATCTTTCTTTTCGTTCGAAAACATTAGCTCATCAAGCTCTACCTGAACACTTAGAAGAATTATTTTGCAACATTTTCATCCCCTGGTAAAGGTACAACTTGATCACAATTTATTTCTTCAAAAAATGTTGATGGCAATTTGTTTGAAAGAATTGGTAAAAAAAGCATCATTTGTTCACGCGCTATCACGTTTTTATGTGGTTAAGAAATGTCAGTAGACTTTTTAAAGAGGTTTCGTAAATTGAACTTTCCAGAGACGAACTTCTATGTCGAAAACTTCCCTTTAGTAAACTTAGCCTCCCAGAGATTCAGTTTGGTTCTTTTACACTTTCCCCCCACATTTCATTTTCTCCACTTTCTCTGTGATGTATTAGGTGCTATGACGGCTAAATGCATAATGTTGCGATGTTAGACAAGAAGAACCGGCTCTCTTTCCTTTTCCCCCACCTGCAAATTTTTACATGTAAATTTGTTGACCACATTGTTCGATTGTTTTAAAAATTTACGTACAGACTAATGGAACCTGATCTAAACTACATTTTATGATTGGATAAATTAGATATTTTACCACTGTAAAGTATTTAATATTAACCAATCATGATCCATCTAACTAACAACCCACTCATTTGTAAGTGCTGGAATTACTTGTAATTTCAGCACCAGAGAGATTTGAATTTAACTTAGAAATTAGTTGTCTCTCCAAGAGAACTTCAGCAACCGCAATAAACCAGTATACCCTAGATCTATTGAGCCTAGCAGAGACTAGTTAAACAACCTGAGACTAGATAGTATAATAGTAAGATTAGGATCGGTATTAGACTAAGAAGTTGCACGAATCTATCCGGCCGAAAATAAGATAGCGTGACGAGCAGACGGTGTACCCTATCCGAAATTACTCTATGAGTTAACCACTTCGGTCCTAACTCATCTGGTGCGACCATAAGTCTCGAACAAGACCTTAATAGCTTAGAATTAACCAAAAATAGATTAGAATTTAGACAAAACATTTTTAAAATGTTATACGACGATAATTTAATCGAAATGTCTCTACGACTCAATAGATCAGAGCCAATATTCCGAACGATAACAGAACTACCCGGAATTGCAAGAAGACCTCGAACCAGAGACGACATACGACAAAGTAGAAACTTACCAAATAGTTATATGATAGTACGGCAAAAGCCAACACAGACTTTTATATTTAGAATTTTATTAGCAATGAATTTAGAATTTCATTCGCAAACATAAAATCTTGAAGTCAATCTTCATAATCATTGCAGGCGCTAAACAAAACTATTAATATACAATAACGATTGATAAAAAGATCTCAGATCGTTTTCCTAAAATTCTGCAGTATTCTATAAAACATGTTTGGAAAATATTTATTGAAAATCAAAATAAAAATTAGTAAGATGACAATAAACTGTTAGTAATCATAAAATCATCAATTGTCCCAGCTTCATCACCTAAAACATAACAGCAATCATAAGCTCACTAATATCATTAAAACACTAAATCTTTTCTTAAATAAATTTAAACCATTTTAAACTTAAATTCACTTAATTTTAAAATCAGATCATCAAGGCTTATCCTTGGATCTTAATTCATTTTCTATTTAATTAAATTTAAACGTGATCATCAAGGCCTATCCTTGGATCAAAAAGAACAATTTTGTTCTTCCCCACCCACTTAGCTAGTGTCTAACGACCTCAAACGTCGATTCACTATCCAACCCTTTCAAAAAACCCAAGACTAATAGAAACTTTTGAACAACACTAATCATTCAAATTAGGATAAACAGTGAAGAACTTCGGATATTCATCCTTCACTTGAACCCTCCTCTTACCAGACCCAGGATAAATCGTAGACTTAGTAAGTTTAAAATAGTATCTAACGAACTACTCGCGTTCTAATTATACCTGAACCTTGTGGATCGATTTACTATTCTCCAACCCTTGAACACAATCATTACCCCTAAGTAAGATTAAGTAAGTTAACACCTTAGCTTATACTAGCCACGAGAAAGTAAAAAATCATTCTTCGGAATCGATATACTTTTCTCTCCAACCCTGAACAATAGACCCAGGTTAAGCTAACCAAAAAATCGTAAGGACTAACAATTTAAGAAAATAGAAATCATCTAACAACTTTTTGCATCCGTCATCCTAAACCTTATGTCATTTAAAAATCTAGGAAACAAACAAACAATCGTTTTACACAACTGTGAAATAGATAACAAAAAATACGACCTTGTAATCACACCACACACACAAACAGTTGGATATATCAGAACAAAACGACAAACACTAAAAAGGAAAATAATAACTAAACAAAGACAAATAACACGAAAAAGGTTTTCCAAAAATAGAAACGCATTTTCAGAATCAGAAGCCAGCAATTTAGACGAACTTTATAAATTAAAAGAATCTATAGATAAAAATTGCCCCATTCACGATCAATTATATTTTTCCGACTCAGAAACAACTTCAAATTCATCAAAAAGAGGAAAAAGACGAATAAAAAAGCAATATAAACACAAACCAGTACACTTATATAACTGGAATCAACCAATTAGACACATCGATATTTACCTATTAACAGTCATTAAACAAAAAAAATGAGCCAAACACACACTCCAAGTGAAGATAGTCCAGATGATGACGATATCTTCCCCTTCCTCGTAGATGCACCCAATGATAGAGGACAGCATATACTTTGCAAGAATTTACTACTAAATTTATTTGAACCCGGAATTAGCCCATGTAAAACAGAGTTCCCAGATGTAAAAATAAAAAGACAAATTTTTGATCACTATCTGAAAGACATATGTAATTTGACACAACAATACGGAATCTACACCATAGAATTCAGCTCACCAAACCCGAATCACCACAAATATGTAATTCAAACAGACGACCTTGATTTAGAATTTTCAAAAGTATTCTCAGAATACATAAAAAGCATTCAATATCATAATTCACAAAGAGCAAACTCCATATTCACTAATGAAGTTTTTGCCATAATATATAGTTACATCTCAATATTAGAAAACGAAATCCCAATCCCAAGTGTCTCACCGACAGAGACATCTAAACATATAAGGGTACGACATGAAATCACACTATTTTCAACTTTTCTACATATAATTAAAGAAAATTTCACTAAAGATGATGTTTCACAACATACAAAACATGACTTACAAAAAATTTTGGCATGGTTTATAATAGATTATTTCACACATAATATAGATTTAATTTCACAAGCAAGAAAAAATTTCAGACCTCAAAATTCAAACGATGATACCGCCATCACAGAACAGTCAGACTACGTTTGGGACCCCGAATGGTCACATTATGCATTTATAAATATCCCACAATCAATTGCAAGTCAAGCAATAAATACAATATCTTATACAAGAGATTATGTAAGAGTAATACCATTATCCATTGATGCAACACCATTAAACTACAATAAATTTCTACCGGATACGCGAAATAACAGCTTAAACTCGACCGTCATACACAATGAAAACCTTAATGGAACTAGGAATCTCACTCAGCAAGATATTCCGACACCATCACACTTCATAAATGAAGAAATTGTACAAACAACAACAACTACACAACAAAGTATTTCACCGATACGTCCAAATTTAACAACACCAAGAAATACAAACACTTCACTAGCACAGGTAACCTTAGAGTCAACCGTTAAACCTTCGGTTGCTCCAAAATATTCACAAATGGATTATCAAACATATAGACCCATGACAATACCGTCAAAAACACGCAGAACGTTCACAAGAAACAATTTTGCGGAACACAATTATAATTACACACATTCATCAAAAACAAATTATCCCCCCCCCCCCCCCGAAAAAATAATAATAATCAGATAAGATCTCGATATTGGGATAACCCAATGGCAACAACCAATTCAGTAAATTTTCAAACTAATTCACATCCTCCACAGGATCGTAGTGAAAATTACCCATTCTTTCAACAGAATAAAAATAAAAAGCAAGCATCTCATCAAACGGATAATTTATCCTCTGATGATGATTATTTACAACCAGATATATTTGCACCATACACTCAAGAATATCGTGGACAAGGAGTGCAAAAACCGTATACATATCATAGAATTTTTTCTCCACACCCAACAGATACACAAAATCAACAACCAATGCAAATGCAAAAGCCAATTAATACACAATCTTTTCAACCAATTCAGCCACAAAACCCAATGATTACACACTCTTATCAACCAACACAAATGCAAAATGAAATACCACTTCCATATTACCTTCAACAACACGAAATAACAAAAAATCAACTTTCAAATTTTTCACAAATGCCAAATACAGCAGAATCATTACAAATGACAATGAATCCATACCTTATGGGTGGATCATCAATAACATCAAACAAACCATTAATGGTATTCACAGGAACAGACCCTGAATATCCTGTAGAAGATTATTTAAATGCAGTAACAGCAAATTTAATTTTAAATATAGGACCTGAACCAATTAATACGCCACTACATCAAAACTGGATACATCGACGCACAGCGT